TAAGGGGGTCGGTGTGACGTTTCCACGCGCGCTGACTGTTATTCTGGCAGAGAATTAACATCCGGGATATGCACAGAAGTTTTTAAAAGTCAAAACCAAAACCAAAGATTCCAATTAATAAATGGGCAAAGGTTGAGGCAGGAGGATCTCTGTGAGTTCGAGGCCAGCCTGGGCTACATAACGAGACCTTGCCTCAAAATAATAAATGAAAACTTGAAAGTAAGTTTGAAACTGGGCCAAGGATAGAAATGGATGCCCCTCTGAAGGAGAACTTCAAATGGCCGACAAATAGCTGACAAATGCTCGGCTCCAGTAGCCGTCAGGGAAGTGCACGTCACAGCCCCAGTGAGATTCGTCTCCCGCGATGAGAACTGCCCACATCACACAGGAAGGTGGTGAGAGAGGCAGAGGGGGATGTGGAGAACTGGCCTGACGGGTCCTACAGCCCTGTGCAAATCGGCACGGAGCTCCGGAGAGACCCGGCATAGACCGACCACAGGGGCCACCTGGTCCAGCCCCACGGAAGGTTTTCCAATTTTTTCCTTTTAGAAGTATTTATTTAAAAAACATTTTGTGATAGGTGCAGATAACAGTGAAGTTAATAGCAATAAAATAAACCTACATAAAATAAGTCATTTAATTTAATTAAAGTTAAACACCAGAAAGGCACATTTCTCTATATTTCAAACCAGTACACTAGCTTAACCCTCATTTTAAAATTGCTGTACTGAGATATACTTCACATACCATACAGTCCAGCCATGGTAATCTACTTTTTTGTTTTTGTTATTGTCTTTTTGAGAGAAGGTCTTGCTATGTTGTCCAGGCTGGCCTTGAACTCACTGTGTAGCCCAGGCTGGCCTCAAGCTCATGGCAATCCTCCTGCCTCAGCCTCCCCAGTGCTGGGATTACAGACGTGCTGTACCACACCTGGCTTAACCTACTTTTATCATAATCACAGCATTGGCAATTTAACCTATGTCAGGCATCCTGCGACTCACTTTCATGCACTATTTCACCCACCTCCACACAACCCTGAAAAGTGAGTGTTGCCAGGTCCCGTTTTCAGACACATGTTTTTCAAGTTGGAACTTGGGTGCTGAGGGCACAGTAATGGTCTCCTGTGGCTTAGCACTTGCCCTCCTGACCGAGGCCAAGTTTCTCTCCTTTGGTTGATCTTCCGCCCCTAAGTTCCCATTTCTTTTCTCCACCGCCAAGAGCAACTTGAAGGTGTTACAAGTAAATGAGATCAGAACATTTTTTAATTTGGATTTTCTTACTCTAAAAAGTGGACAGAGGACCTCTATTTTGTATCTTGAGAATGTACATTGTATTCTTTTCCTCCTCCTCCTCCTTTCTCCTGTTTTGTGGTGCTGGGGATGGAGCCCTGGCCTCACCCAGGGTGGGCAAGTGCTCACCACAAGCTTCACCCCCAGCCGTGAATGTTGTCGTCAGAAGTCACACGCTGGCATGGAAACCCTCCTCCGTCCCTGGGTGGTGCTGTGTGGTCTCCCCGTACATGGACAAGACAGTCATCTGCTTTCAACGCCCTCAGGGGAGGGGCAGCCAGATTGTGTCCAGACGTCTCTGCTGCTACCATTGTTGAGCTAAACGTCACCCACACAACCCCCCCTTAGTGACAAATGTGCGGGTGTGTTTAAAACGCAGCCACATGTCCTTCCACGCTGAGGACACGTCCTGAGGACTGTTGTTACGCAACTTCCCCATCGCATGAACAGCCCCAAGTGCGCGTCCTCAGCTCGTCACCCACGTGCTCTCCGGTGCGGTCAGGAGATGCTAAGTGGGGGGCGCAGCGTGTGGCCGGTGAGACGGGGCTCACTGTTTCACAGTCGGTGTCTCCTTCAGTGTAAGCAGGGGCCGTAAACTAAAATAGCTCTAAAGCTACAGTGAACACTCGACGCACCAGCCTCGTCACTTATTATCATCAGTGAGCACCATGTGCTGCACACGGGCGTGTGTGCTACACGACCCACAGCTCGGTCTGCTCACACCAGCCTCACCTTGTCTATGAGGTTATGATGGATGCAGTGTCGCTGGGCAGTAGGAGTTTTTCAGCTCTGTTATAATCTGATGGGAACACCACTGTATTTACAGCCTGCTGTTGACCAAAATGTCAACTCAGGAGCCAGGCACTGTGGTGCAAGTCTGTGATTCCAGCCCTCTGGGAGGCTGAGGCAGAAGGATTAAAGTTCAAGCCTGATGTGGGCAATTTAGTCACTTACTAAGACCCTGTCTCAGAATAAATAAAAAGGGCTGGAGATGTAGCTCAGTGCAAAGGCCCTGGGTTCCATCCCCAGTGCTGCAAACGAAATGAGACAAGAGCTCACCTTGCTCTGTGGCACAGGACTGCCTGTACCCAGCAGGGGACTGGTGGGCCCCAACTCAGGATAAAACATCCTTCATCCCATCCCTGCCAAACTGCACTCTGGGGCTATCACCCAAGCTTCTTCTCTCCCACCAGGGCCCCACACTGAACCTGGGATCATCAAACCTCCGACTCTTTGCTATTCCAACAGTGTGTTCATTTTCTAGGTTGCTGTTGCAAAGTGCCACAAACAGGTGACCCAAACAGCAGAAATACGTTGTCTCCCAGCAAGGGTGTCTGGAGGTCTGCAACTAAGATAGCTTCTGCTGCAGCTGTGGAAAAGAATGTGCTCCAGAGCCCCTCCAGCTTCCAGGGTTGATAGTAACCTCTGGTACTCCTTGCGTTACAGGTATCAGCCCTACCCTGGCACACTCCTTGTCTGAATCCAAGTCTCCTTTTCTATAAGAAAACAAACCCTATTGGATTAGGTGTCCATACTACTCCAGTATCATCTCAATTTAACCAGCTGTGCCTTTAAGAATCTTACTTCAAACTAACGCCCCATTCTGAGGTAATAAAGATTAAGACCTCAGTATACATGATGGGGGCCCACTGAGCTGTAACAGGTCACTGCAAAGTAAGATCACTTCAGCATGAGTGGATGTGTGGTGTGTGTGAGATCACCTTAGGGTGTGAAATAAGATCATCTCAGAAAGGAGGCCTGTAGAGTAAAATCACCACATGGTGCTTCAGAATAGATAGGTATGGAGGAAGATCACCTGAGGACAAATAAGCAGAGTAAAACCACCTCCAAAAGGATGAGCTCAGAGTAAGATCACCTCAGAATGCATGAGCTCAGGGTAAGGTCACCTCAAAGCAGGTGAACGTGGAGTACGATCACCTCAGAACACATGGGTGCAAAGCAATATTACTTCAAAGCACATAAATGTGAAGTAAGACCCCTGAGAATGGAGGTGTGCTAGGTAAGATCACCTCAAAACCGACGGGCGCAGAGTAAGAGCATCTCAGGAGGAATGGGCACAGAGTGAAATCACCTCGGCACAGACGGGTGTGAAGAAAGATCACCTCACGACGGATGGGTGTGCAGTTACAGCTCCTCAGAACATCAGAGGGGCGGGTGTGGAGTAAGGTGGTCTCGCAATTTTCACTTCTCTGATCCCTAATGGTGCTGACCTCTCCTGTGCTCCTCTGAGCCAGCACTGCCCCTGCTATAAACTCCTGGGGTCCTTCTGACTTAGAGGAGCTTCATGACTGCGCATGTGATCGCGAAGCTGAATCACCCGGGCTTACCCCATCCGACCCAGCACCTGAGCTGTCCCGCCAAGCATCAGTCACTTCCCCCATCCCGGGATGGGCCACCTTCTTCCCTTCTGCTTTGCTTCCACCACACACCTGCCCAGTTCTCCCCTATTTCACCGTTCCCTATCCAAGCCTCAGCACCATCTCATTGCAGCCACCATGCCTGTCTCCTCTGACCCTTTCTTTTGAGACTTAGTCATGGCCTGTGTTTTGTACCAACACTACTTCCTCTCCTCTTGTTCACACTTCCTTTTTTATTGTCTGCGATTTATTTTTATTGCATAATCAAACTGGGGAAATTGTTAAGACTGGAGGGAAACCATGATCCCCTCCCCCATCAGACACCTTCCATACCACTCCTTTCCCTGAGAAAAAGCCTTCCTGTCAACTTGGCCGGGTTTCTCTCCTACAAGGGGACAGGGCAACAACGGAGAGAGTGCTGCTCTGTGACTTGGCTGCCTCCCAAAAAAATGCTCCCTCCCTCTGCCACTGCCCTGAAGGCTTCAGTTCTCGGCAGAGCCCAGAACACTGCACCTCAGTGCCATTAGGAACTTCCTCCTTGCCCAACTGCAGTCTCACTTCTCTTTTTTATTTTTATAAAGTTTGCTACATATCTGTTTGCAGCACTGGGGACTGAACCTAGGGTCTTCACATTAAGCTACATCCCCGGCCCTTTTTTATTTTCATTGTTTGTAGCAGGGTCTTGCTAAGTTGCTAAATTACCCAGAGGGGCTCGAACTTATAACCCTCCTGCTTCAGTGCCCGGGAGAGCTGGGATTACAGCAGCGCACACCACGCCTGGCTGGCTAGACATATCTGAAGTGTACAGTCTGCTTTTGAGACACACCTAGAAAGAAAGTGGTTCCCTAGTGAAGGAGGTTATACCCCTCATCTGCCGTGGTTACCTACTTTTCTGTGTGTGGCAAATGCTGGTAAAGTTTACTCATTTAGCAAAACTCCTAGCTACAGTAAAATACTTCTAGTAGCACGCTGTACATTAACCCTGGAGGCCCGCTCATCCCACGCAGGCGCTAGCTGGATCCGCCGACCGCCGTCCCCCGTGTCCCCCTGTGCTGCTCCCTGTAAGCAGTTTTATTCTGTTCCTTGTGGGAGCCCACACTGACGTGAGATTGCGCACTGCCTGCCTCTCTGAGTTAGCGTCGCCTCCCGTAGTCTAATTCCGAGACTCGCCCGTGTTGCCGCACGGCAGGATTTCTTGTGTTTCAGCGGCAGGACAATATTATGCTGCATGCGTGTATGCATGCATCACCGTTTTCGCCATTTTTCCATCCAATAAGGAGCTAGTAACCAAAAGAACTCAAACAACTCAACTGCAGAAAAATAAATGATCTTATTTCAAAACGGGCAAAAGACCTGAATTTTATTTAGTTTTTCAAACAAGGCCTAGAACTGGCCACCAGGTGCAGGAAAAGGTGCTGGACAGCACTAAGCGTTGGATGAAACTAAAAGCAAACCACCAGGCGGTGTCGCCCACGCCCATCAGGATGTCGGTACCCACAGAGGGGAAAAACAGGGGTCGGTGCGGGGTGGAGACAAGGGAGCCCTTCCCCGCCGAGGCCGGTATGGAAGACAGGATGAAGGTCCCTGCAGAAATTACAAACGGAGCTACCGCGACCGCCCGGCTCTCCTCTCGGAATTCCCCGAACAAGCGACGCTTCTTCCTCGCGGCCGCCCACGCTCCCGTGCTACCGCAGCACCGCCGCAGTCCCGAGCCGCGGGGCGAAGGCCGCGTGCTTCTTGACTTCCGCTTGGCGCCCGGGGGTCCCCTTACCCACACCCCAATGGCGTTGCCGGTTCAGAAACCCAGAGTCTTTGCACGTGCTCCGGCAGGCGCCCCAGCTTCGCGCTCTGAGGCCTGGATGGCGAGGCTCGCCTCCCGCGGCAAAGGGTAGGTTCCCAGGTCCTGCTAATCTGCACACCACCCCCACAGGTCGGAGGAGAGAGTCGGCATCCGTCAGCTCGCGGTGGATGCGCAGCCAGGGGGTGAACGTGCGGTGAGTCTGGAATCTGCCCCGAGAAGGGCGAGGAGCCCCAGAATTTCCTCACAGCTGACAGCGCTTCTCTCCTGAGTTTTTGAGGGCCTCTAGCCTGAGCGTTGGGCTTGCGGGGCGTGGGCGGCACGCTCTGCGGAGCCGGGCTGAGGCGCACCGTCCACGCCAGCCGCTCCAGCTGCGCTCTCAGGACAAGGTGAGGGTGGCGTACACACAGGGCTGTGTGGATGGAGGCTCAGGGTCCCGGGGCGGAAGCGGGTCCACACCTGCCCTGAGCCTCGTTGGGTGCAGCTGGGCGTAGGTCACCTCCTGTGGGTCCTCCGCCGCCGCCGCAGGGACCTGGCGTCCAGAGACAAGGTGTGCAGCAATGCCTGGGTGTGGCTGCAAAGGGAGGAGGCGGAGGGAAGGGCTCACCTGTGTGTCCCGCTGTCTGTCCGCCTCAGGCTCAGCGTCCTGCAAGCCATCACCTGCGTGGAAAGATGAGAGAGCGGCATCCGTCTCAGGCGGCTTCCAATCACCAGCCCTGTGTTCCCTATCAGAGCCGGCCCGCTGAAGCCCCGGAGAGGACGGAGATGTCACAGAGCAAGGGGGCACTGTCCACCTCTCTGCTGGCCCTGGACGCCTCCCAGCCCCACCCTGCCGGTCCCTTTCCACCAGGGGCCTGTGCTTCTCAGGTTGCTACCTGTGTCTTCTCCCTGGACCTGCACGGGTGGGCTGGAGCCGAGGGAAAGAAGACATCAATGTCAACTTAGGTCCAGGAATCGTACAAAATTGGTTTTTAAAACTTTGGGGGGCAAATTTTCCCACCTGCTGTGCCTCATGTGGCCTTTGGTCCCATCACAAGCAGCCCCTACAGAGACAATGATCATTCTGGGAGGAGCCCACCCAGCGCTCCCCACACACCTCCAGATGAGCCCGTGCACCCCAGGACTTACTGCGCTTGGCCCGACGCCTGCGTAGGCAGAGGAGGAGGAGGAGGAGGAGCAGGACAAGGAGAAGGAAGGCGGCGGCAGCAGCTGAGGCCGAAATCACAATGGGAACAGCCGGACCTGGGGATTCACACAGGGCAAAGAGCTGTGGTGGAACTCCTGGTGGATTAATCCACCTGTTACAGGAAACGTGTATAGAGTGTCAAAGTTATAGTAAGAAAGTTATTGAATGTTTGGGAACCTAGCAAAACTACCCAGCAAAGAAAGGCAATAAATGGACATGTGATAACTCAGTGAGATAAATTCCATGACGAGAAGATTAAATTCCACCAGGGAAGATTTACCAGGGGCATGAGCCCCGAAGGATAAGACAGACCCAGAAGGGACCGACAGACACGCAGCTCAGAGGTAGAGGCATGGGGGAGGGGGCACGAGGAGGACGGTGCTTCCCAAAGGAGACGGCGACCTCAGGGGCGGCCAGCCAAGCTCAGGGCCTGAGGACGAGGAGTCTAAACCCAGCACTGACCTGCAGGGGGACTGGCATGTGCTGCTTTCCAAGACTGGGATTGGACTCTTAACTGAGATAAATCGGACCCACATGTGTACATTTCTAATGGTCTCTCTGGTGTGAGAAAGAGAATGGGTAAATAAGGAGCAACATGTATAAAAGATATCCGGAAAAGGAAGAAAAGGTGCAAATCAAAGGGAAACTAGGGAGACACGAAGGAGAAAAGGACAGGGAAAGAGAACACATGAAAAAATGGAAAAAAAAAAAAAACTTTTGTAAGTAAGGAGGAAAGGAGTTTGAAGGGAGGGTAGGGGAATGAGAGAAAAGAATCTTTTGCTGTCCTGTACAGGTGCAAATGCCCTTTGATGAATGTGATCATTGTGGATATCTAAAGTGTGACAATGACATTCATTTTGAAATAATAACAGTAACAGTAAAAGACGGGGTTTTCTGAGTGGTGAGCAGATTTCAGAGTCCAAGTGGAAAGAGGAGACAATCAGGGAGAAGAGGTGGGCAGCTGGTGACAGGGAATCCCAGCAGGAGAAGAACAAGAAGGCCCTGGATTGCAGGACGTTTGAAGGACAGAAATGAGGAGACGTGAGGGCTGGGTGCTGAGTGAGAGGACCGCTGATGGACACTCCGTGGAGAGGACAGGTGGTGGGAGCTGGGATGGAGACCCAGGAGGGACGGGGAGGTTGGGATCTGTCCATCAAGGGCTCTGTGCAGATGCTGAGTAGCTACTGTTGATGGCAAATCCTCCACAGGATAAAGAGCATGGACGCTCATGGGGGCCTTTCTGACTGGGTGAAAAGACCAATGACCATCATCAGACCTCTGAAAATGCCCTGACCTCCCCACACTCCTCCACAGAGGTTAGCCTGAGCCACTCCCCTCCCTGCTCCACCCCTGCCAAGTCTTCCCTGGGTTCCTGCCTCCTCCTGACCATACTCCATCCTTCTCAGTTACCTACAGTTCCCAGAATGCACCTGGAAAGCCATCTCACGCTCTGTGCACTATCCCTCTGCTCCCCAGGCCTGGAGCAGCTTCTCTGCCTTGACCCTGAGAAGCTCCAGGTGCCTGGAAAAGCTAAGGCCCACAGAGCTCAGCCCCATCCACCAAGGAGGAGGGCAATATCCCTTCCTGCATGACCCCATAGCATCAGGACCATGAATCCACCTTGGGAACCCCGCCATGAATGTCTTCCTGCATTCTCCATTGTCCTGGGGGCCATAAAGACACCACCGGGGTCACAGCATCAGCTCAGAAGGATGCAGGTGACACAAAGACCCAGGAAGTCATCTAGAGCAAAGAAACTGGGAGAGACCCTTTCACTTTGCTGTTACCAGCAGCTGGTGATGTCCTTGCCGTAACCCACACACAGAGACAAGGATGGCCAAGGGTGCCACTGGGGTGACAGAGCCAGCAGCTGAGTCATGCATCACCTTTCACACTGGACTCCAGCATTGTCACTATGTCACACATCACTTCTGTAACGTCGTAAAGATCCCTCTTCCCAAAAACGACCTACTGCTACCTGCCACAAACAGTGACAATGATACTGATGCTCAGGGCTAAAAGTCAAAAGAGGTGGATTCGAGGGGACGAGGGACACAGCACACAACAACCACAGTGAAAACACACAGACTACAGCTGAGAGGCCCCCAGAGAGACTTCCCCTAACACGAAGTAACGTGACTCACGTGTGACAGAGAGCTGGAGAGGGTCGCTGGGCAGGGACCATTGCTGGGGGCTGTGGTTATGGGAGCCATAGCAGGTGTAGGTCCCGGCCTGATCCAGGCTCACAGGGGCGATGAGGAAGGAGCTGTGGTGCTGGTGAGAACAGTCCTGGGGGAAGGAAGCTCCTCCTCCCCTGCACAGGACGTAGGTGTCATAGGAGTAGAGTGGCTGACACCGGAGAGTCACGGTTCCCCCTGAGGCCACCTGGGCGGCTGGGTGAGCAGCCAGGGATGGCTTGTCCTGGTAGGCACCTGAAAGGGAATGGAGCCTGATACTAAATCATTATTAAAATAGCCCCACCTTTTTCTAGGCCTGAGAGAGAACAGAGAAGCTGAGAAGAAACTCACACCTTGCCTCAGGTTAGGGATCAAGATGATAAAACCCTAAGTCCTCCTTTCTACTTTCCCAGGAGCCAGCACCAGAGAGGAGCAGGAGCCTGTGGCCATGCGGTGCTTCCTGGGGAATCCAGCCGCCGCTCTGAGGGAGCAGGGAGCCCGGGCAGCACAGAGGGAGGGGAGCCCTAGTGCTTGGCAGAGACTGGACAGGGTCTATGGTGGGGCCCATCTGCACCACTGAGGAGGATGCAGAGAACCAGCTCACAGAGCTCAAGGCACACTGTCCCTGGTGTCCTCACCTGTGACCACCAGCTCCAGTGACTCGTTGCATCGTGACCAGTCTCCTCCCTTGAAGTATTCACAGGAATAAATCCCTGCATCGAAGTACTTCACATCCAGCAGGGAGAAGTGCACCGTTTCTTGGGTTCCCTCTGGCTCTCTGTCATACCACTGTCCTCCAGGTGCTTCATGGTGTAGACGCACTGTGGTCACCCCTGGAGGAGCCCTGCAGAAGATGCTCACAGAACCATCCTGGGGAATCACAGCTCCCGGCACTGCCCAGATGCAGGGCTGGGACGATGAGTCTGGAAACAGAGCAAGATCCCGAGGGCTGCGAGGGAAGGAGAGCCCTCCGCCCCTCCCCAAGGCGCCCAAGCTGCTCGGGCTCTGGCTGTGGGACAGAACCAGGAGCTCAGCTGTCACCTGGGTGTGAACCCGGCTCACTCCCTGGGCTGACACGTGACCCCAGGCAGTGGAGGAACTGCTGTCCCTCACCCTGAAGGGAGTCCTAGTGAGGTCTGCGTGTATCTTCAGCCTGTGACACCACCTGCCTGCGACAGCAGCCCTTGTCCTGGCTTCCCGGAGCCCAGTGCTCATCTCCCTGGAGAGCAGAGTCTGCTCCCCGGCTGATTCCTGCCTTCTCCACACACGTGTGCTGGGAGTGTAACTGAGTCCTTCTTCAGTATGTTTCTCATACGTACAGAGTCTGGGGAAAGTTCACACCTCAGCAGTTCTCTGTGCTAAACAAGATCTGGAAGTGAAAGGCCTGCACCGTGAGCACCTCTTGGAATTGTAAGGCCAGAGGAACTTGTATTGATCTCATGACGGCTCAATAAATTTCGTATTAAATTATTTACTCAAGTTTCTCTTCCCTCAAGTGTGTATACATTTTTGGTAGCCTGTGTGTCTATTTTGATGTCTATACTACTATGATTTCTCATCTAGGTATTCATTTAGATACCCATGAGTCTATCCACCATCTCTGTGTCTCCTACACCTGGTATTTCTGTACCTGTCCCTGTGTGAGTATGTGTTCGTCTCTGTCACACGCACACGCACACACACATACACACCTGATCTCCAGACATGTTCAGTCTCCTCCCATGCATTCCTCAGTAACTATACACGAACTTCGGCTCCTGCACACTCACAAAGACCTCACCCACTGCAACGGCCTGGTCCCTGTACCACTCATCGTCCTTCCTCAGCCCTGCACTGCCGGCTTCTCACCTCTCGTCCCAGCCTGGGAAGGAATCCTGTGGATCCCCCGTCCCATCACTCTGCTGCCCCCACTGGCCTGGGCCCAGTGGATATTACGTCTCCTTACACTGTTGTCTGGTGCCTTCTTTTATCTTCTTCCACACCAACCCCAGGACTTGCCCCATCCTCAGCCTGGCTCCTGGGATTCTAGTGAAATGCGTTCATCAACTCTGTCTTCGGTCAGAAGCCTGCGGTGGCTCTGCTGTCACTCACAGAGACTCCTGAGCACTGATTCTGGGCCACAGGACACTGCAGGCACTGACTGCACTCTGGACCTCATCCTTACACAGTCCCATATTGCACACGTTCTGCCCCAACCGGGGCCAGGTCAGCACACCCGGACTCTCCCCAACAACACAGTGCCCACAATGGCTCCACCCTGCCCCCTGGACATCCTTCACCACAGCACCAGGAAACGCCTCCTTCAACCTGCAACCCTCCTGGAACGCACTCCTTCAACTGTTCCCTTTGCACACTCCCCGCCCTTCCATTCTCACACATCCAGCTCCTCCTCTTACAGCACTGTGTGCACGCCAACATGTTCCTTTTCATTTCCTTCAGAGGACAAGGATTTCCGGGTGTCCCCAGCACACATAGCAATGGTCCAGTCACAGGCAGGGCCGATACACCTGCACTAAGTGGGAATGAACTTTGCTCTCGGAGAAGCAATGAGGGAACACGAGGATCACACACACACACAGAGCTGAGAACACTGGCTCTGTGGAAAAACAGAGACATGAGCACTGCCCAGCAGCTCTCGCCTCTGTGTGACCACACTTACGGCAGCGAGGCCCTAACGATTTCACCGTCTGCTCTCTCTGTCCACTAAGAAACACCCTGTTGTTCTACTGTTTGAAAGCAGAGACGGGGTGACAAATGCAAAACTAACTTGCACAGAGGGTCACACAGCAGACATGCATGGGGCTCAGCATCATCCTTCAAATCTGTGTCCTCAATGAGGGAGCCTTGGCCTGGATGACCTCTCAGGAATAAGAGACTTGGAAGGATCCCCAGAGACAGCAAATTCGGATAATACAGCCTCACTGGAACCATGGACACTCTGTCCTCAGGGAACAGGGTCCTGTGTGAAGTCTCCAGGCCTATGCCACATTTCAGTGCATCTGGCCTGTGTTTGCTATGGGCACTGTTGAAGACTCATTAGGGAAGAGTATGAATGGCACCATGGGGTAGGGTCCTCCTGCCTCAGCCCAACACCCTCAGGCTCCTCCCACCCTCAGCCCAGCCTCACTCCCAGCTCCCAGCACTGAAGGAAGGGAAACTCACCACTGTGGGCCCAGATCCTCTGCTCCAGAGCAGACACTGAAACAGAGAGACCTGGTAAGAGGCACCTCCCTGGCACCCGATGGGGTTGTGCCCAACCTTGGGCTCCGGACACAGACCTGGGGTCAGGGAGTCAAAGGTCTCATCTAATGCCGGCCAGGAGCTCACAGAGGAAGAGCTCTGTGAGGAGCTCAGGTCATGGACTCGGTCTCTGGGTTTGTCCCCTCCCACCCACTGCCTCACTTCCCTACAGCGCTCACCAAGTCCAAGCAGCAGAGCGAAGCCAGCGGACATGGCACTGCCTCAGCCCAGGTAACCACAGCTGCTCAGCCAGTGGCTCACACAGCCGCACAGGGGACACCAGCCAACAGGAGGACTGATCCCCAAGTCCTTGTCACAGGGTGATGGCATCAGCTACTAAGCAGGAAGGAAGCTGCTCTTGGCAAAAGCCCAGGCCCTGCCCCTCTCTCTCCCACACATCTCTGAGTTCCCGTCTCGGTGTCCTGCTCTGACCTTTGAGGTGAGCTGTTGTGGGACCCAAGGCTAGCCCCGTGCGCTGCAATCTGCACATCTACTGTGTGAGATCTGAAGAAACCAATACACAATGTCAGATACAGCACAAAGGCCCCATTGCATCTTGGGAGGCCACTGTCAAGTCTAGGGTCTGTGGTCTTTAGGCAGAAACCAAACCAGGGGAGATGGAAGAGGGAATGAGGGGCCAGTGCAGGTGTCTGGGAATAAATGGTCAAGAGCTGGTGGATGCTCTGTCCAAGGAACTCCTTGAACTTCTGGAAAGCTCCAGTGTACAGGGAACAACACTGTATCACACACTTAGGATTGTTGGTAGCTGAGCTCCTCTGTATCCTTACAAACATAAAATTCCACTGAGGTTAGTGCAGGTGTGGGAGGAATCTTAGGGTGTCGATGGATATGCCCACGAGGGTCAGGCTGTTGTGACATGTGTCTAGCCAGGAACAAGAACACCGCCTCAGCACTGTGTCTGCCAAGAATACCTCTGCGGTGTCTTCAAAAGGGAATAACATACCCTGCATGATGGCATCCAGAGGATTCTGTCCTGTCCCAACACGGATGTGCATCTCAAGGCCTTTGCAAGGGGAAACTTACTACGCTTGGCACACTCATGCACTCTCAGCTAACCCGGGAGATATTGAAAGTCTTGAATACTTGCCCTCTCACAGAGGCCTTCTGTGAACTTTATCTTCTTTACTTTTCTATCAATATATCAGATAGTGAAGACATCCTGCATCCAAGGAGACAACAGATGGCTTCTGTCTAGTCACACGAATGTTTCTGTGATTAACCGTTATTTTTTCTTATTCATTGTTATTAGTTCATATTTGAAGCACATATTGATGATATTCATTGTGGGAAATTCACAACTACACAAAATATCTTCTTTTTACCATTCCCTTCCCCTCCTTTCAACCCTGCATTTTGCTCACGCCCAGTGACTTTGCCTGAGACTAATATTAAGGATGCTAGACTATTTAACCTGGCAAAACAAATTTCAAGGCCATATAATGTTGAGGCAGTGGTATGGCTACTTTTTGAGGCTTTTAGCCAGACTTATGTTGAGAATCAAGAGCAAAGAGCCCAGGAGTATGATTTAAAACGCTATGATTTGGGGCTGGGGATTTAGCTCAGCGGCAAAGCGCCTGCCTGGCAAGCGCAAGGTCATGAGTTGGGTTCCCAGTACCGGAGAAAAAACCAAAAATAAAATAAAATAAAATAAAATGCTATGATTTGGTCCAGAAAGGAAGCCCCAGTGAAGCTGTGGTCTGCGAAAATAGAGCAGAGGAGATTTTGACTGCTGAAAATGAACATGAGAGTAGAGAAGATCCCTGAAAGCATCACAAAAAAGAGAGGAACTCCACCCATCACAGTCTAAAAATTGCAAAACCAAACGACTTTGCTCTGAGAAGAAAGCCCCAGAGCATCAGATTCCACAAGGGTGGAGAGAGCACCATGTTGCAGAACAGGGGAAACATAGAGAGTTTGTAACCCACAGTTGGATTCAGAGTGCCCAGTGGTCCAGGCACTTGAGCCCTGCAGCCAAGAGAGAAGGGACTACTGCTCCTGTTCACAGCAGACCTAGGCATCATCCATGTGGCAGTGGATTCAGGCACCTGCAGAGTGCAGGAGTTGTAGAATTAAGAAGGCTTCCACCGTGATTTCAGAAGAATCTGAAGCTGTGAGTGTGAAGCCAAAGGTGCAGTAAAGACCCAAACAGTTTGGAGAAACCAGGAAGGTAGCTTGTCTAAAGAAACCTGCAAGGAGGGAGGAGAGCATGCCCAAGAGGGTAGCCATATGAGCTACACCTTTTGGAGTGCAATAGGTGGCGGGGGAGCCACACAAAACCTTGAAACTCATGCCTTGCCACAGATTGCCTCACATGCTGCCCATGGAACGACAGGAATTAATGTTCCCTGCTGGATGTTGTAACTAAGTCAGTGGCCCAAAGGCTTCTGTGTTGGTTCCATTCCTCTGTATCCTCCTGCTTTTTACTTTAGGAATGGAAATGGAGACCTTGTGCCGTTGAATGCTGGGAGTGTGTAACTTTTTTCACATGTATAGGGGCTTGCAGCTAAGAGTTTGCCTTTAATCTCAGAAGACACCTGGGACTTGGACTTTTCAGCACCCTGAAACTCATAGGACCTTTGCAAGACTTGGAGAGGGACTAAATGCCTTTTGCTTGTGGGTAGGTTTGGAATGTTATGGCTTGTGCCTAGATGTCCCACAAAGCCAATTGCAATCACACGTGAGCCTTCGGCAGAGGTGGCTGGATCAGGGTGTGTGACACTGGAATTGATTGATGATGCAATGCTAGAATTGAGGGCACTAAGACGAAGGGAGTGACTGCTGCCTGCCTTATGCAGTTTGGATAAGATATAAGGGACACAAGGAAGCTTGTCTGCTCCTCACTGTTTTGCTACCTTCTGCCTGCCATGGACTCTTTTTCCTCTGTGACGCCCGTCTGCTGTGACACTCTGCCTAAGAGCCAACTGATTATGGACTGAAACCTGTATGAACTGTTACCTGAATACACTTTTCCTCCTTTAACTTGTAAGTGTTGGATACTTTGTCTAGCCCACGAGAAAAGTAAATTAGACAGTCCCTCAAAGGCCTCTGTGTTAAAGGATTGCTCCCCAGGGCGGTGCTATTGGGCTATGGTAAGGTAGGGCTTCAGGTCAGTGGGCTTCCCCTGAGAGGGACTGGAAGATCAAACCCCTTCTTGTTTCTCTTTTGCTTTTACACCATGAGATGAGCAGTTTGTTCCACTCTGTGCTTCCTGCCACTGCCATCCAGAACCCCAAAGCAATGATTTGCCTGATCCTGGATGGGTATAGGGAGTGGCTAAGGGTGGAAACTGGTCACATGTGTGGGGACAAGGCAAGGCCAATCCAAGAATAAAGAGTGCCAAAACAATCAACCTGCTTCAGTCCTGAGAAAACACCTTGCCTGAGACAATTCTGGTCATCAGTCCCTAGGTAACCCTGTGTGGTGTTATGCTAACTTTGTCAAATATAGAAATAAATGTTCCAACTGTGCTTGAGCAGTTCCTTTCCTCCCATCCAGAGAGAGAGGGCTCCACCTGACACCAGCTTTCATCTCTTAACTCTATTTCTTCATTCTCTGAGCATTTCTTCCTGGGAACATCAAGAGACACACCAGGACACACCAAAATGGAACCTCCAAAAGTTTGGTTGCACGTAAACCTTTCCACTTTATAAGCTAGCACCCTCAGGCATATGGTTATAACGACAAAGTCAAAACATAGGTGAAATGTTGGAGAGGGTCACACATGACTGTTTAGATTTTTACTTCTTCTTGAGTCAGTTTGTTCAGCTATATTTTTTTCTAACAAATTGTACACTTCTTCTAAAATTTTTTTTCTTTTTGGTTTTTGGATTTTTACTGGTATTGGGACTTCTTCTAAATTTTAAAATGTTTCAATATAAACTAAAATATAGGGGCAGAGATATAGCTCAGCAGCATAAGTCCCTGCCTGGCAAGCACAAGGTCCTGAGTTCTATTTCCAGTACCAAAAAAATAAACATCTGCATAAAGTAAAATGTATTGGTAGTTTTCCATAGGTTTGAGACCAGCCTGGGCTACATACTGAGACCCTGTCTCAAAAAACACACAAACAAAACTAATCAAACAGGAACTCAGGGCATACAGCAAGCATAATTTTGCAAGCACTATGAAATGTAGCTTTTTGTAAAATTACAACAAGCAGAACAAAGACAGTCCTCAAAAGGTGTAGGACTACAGCCTTAGGGGCCCTGGTTTTTGGTCACCTTTTTCACCATATTCTTGGGCTTAGTAGGTCAGCAGGTACCACAAGAGTTTGGTGGGCACCCTTGCATATCAGACCATCAGAGCTTTGGCATAGCCTTTGTGTGGCCCTCTTGGGGCCCAGTTTTTCTCAGCCCACCTTATCTTGACCTTCATTGGGCTGTGCTGCCTCCCTCTCGGGCCTTGCATTTCCCTACCGGCCTGTCCTGTCTACTGCAATGCAGACACCTTCCCAAGGCCCAGGCTCTGAATGTGGAGGCTTTTGAGG